GGTCTGTATGTGGGATCCGAACCCTCGGACGGGAGCGCCGCCGCGCTTCCCAAGCGGCGCACTATCCAGTGCGCCACCGGGCCGGCCCAGATACAAAGATGTTTGATAATTGAATACAACTTATACAAGAATAGGCAGGCATGTCCAAATAGCAGATATTACAATTCTCTCATTAATAGTTCAGTTAAATTTAACACCCTAGAGAGTTGCCTATTCCAACACTGAAATGACCAAGAGGCTAGTCCCTTAATTTCCCTTTTCCTCAAGGGCAAAAAAGAACCCCACTTTGTCTCATAACACTACTACGAAGTTTAGCAGAACTATTAAGTAAAGCTGTATACCATCACCATGAGCTATCCATAAAATTATAGTAGAATATAGAAATATGAAGATGAACTGTATATACCTGGTGTTAGTGAAACATTTCAAAAGCAAAAGTTATTGAAATGTGGCACATTTTGCCTTTACTAGATTGACCTAATATCCTAAATTATACAACTGATATCATAAAATAATAGAGGTGATGTCCCACAGTTGATTTAATCCAGTCCCCTCATTCTACAGAGGCCAAAAAGGTTATAGGAGTTGCTCAAGATCATACAGCTAGTTGGTATAAAAGTGGTTGTAAAATAGTCTCCTGATTCCTGGTCTAGTGAATTTCATGAATTTCAAAAGTACTTTGCACATGATCTCACTACTTGTTACAATACCCTTTTTTTTTTAACACAAGGAAATAGCACAATTTGTTTTACTTTATAAATAGGCAATATAAACTCTAGGATGGCAAAGATATATTCTTCACGATCATGCAATAAATAGCAGTTAGTCAATATTCGTTTTCTCTACTTCAAATTTACTAGTCCTTCAAATTGAGATTACAATTTCAAATCAGATTAAAAACGGTCCTGATCCTAGGAAAAATGGCTGAGTCTAGGACTGAGGCAGGAAATATAAAGATGAACTTGGAGCATCTTATAGTGCCAGAAAGTAATGAAGTGCTCAAAACAAAGAAAACAAACAAAAAACATTGCAATGATGAGGATATGTATGTTAAAGGAAAACAGGAGCAAAACTGAAAGAGCTCTGAATGGCCAAAGCTGGAACAATTTAAGCAACAGATTTTAAAAAGCAGTGGTACTGAATTATAAATTGAAGTAAGAAGTTTCTCTGAGTCCATATTGATATAAATAAATGCTTGAATAAATAAATCGATGGGGGAGAATGGACAAATCTCCCAAGCAGAATTCCAAATAATCTATGCAGATCCTCTGTTCTTAGGAGGTAGAGCATAGCTCCCCATATCTTAAGTGCACAGTGACTTCCTTCCAGTACAGTATGGAAAGGGGGAATAAAAGGAGTAACTTGACAGTGGGAAAACCTTACAAACACTACCTTACACCAGGTGATCAAAGTTAACATTAACAGTGAAAATACCCTTGCATTTGATACATATTGGTACACACGTATATATTCCCTTTACATGATGTGATGAGAATGGCACTTGACCTCCATGGTCTCCCTTTCAAAAATACACTACCCCCTTCTAATATTATGAGAGACATTCTACAAAATAACCTGACCAGTAATTCTTAAAATTGTCAAGGCCATCAAAAACAAGGCAAGTCTGAGAAACTGTCACAGCCAAGAAGGGCTTAAAGACACACAACTATTTAATGTATTGTGGTATCCTGGATAGGATCCTGGAACAGAAAAAGGACATTAGGAAAAACTGTGGAAATCTGAATAAAGCATGGACTCTAGTTACCAATGTATCCACACTGGTTCACTAACAGTAATAAATGTAGCATCTCGACTTAAGAGGCATAATATGGGAAACTGGGTTTGGGATATATGGAAAATCTCTGTATTTTCTTTGCAATAATTCTGTAAATCTAAAACTGTTCTAAAAAAGCTTATTTAAAAAAAAAAAAAATGGCCCCACCTTTTATTTTTAAGGCCCTGCTAAGGAAAGGAACAATTTCCTTGCTTTGGGTGAAAGCTGTCACCCACTCTGCTACAGTGGATAAGAGGGGCTTATCCAGGAAGCTGACATACTTTAGTCTGGCTGGCTTGTGGCAATGTCTAAAGTGCACTCCATAGCCTGGGATACTTCTGGTATACAGCTCAACAGAATTCATTACCATCATCACATATCACTTATTAACTAACTGGCTGTCACTCAAACTATGCTAAACGATGAAATATAGTTTAGAAAATATTTTTAAAGTAAGATTAAGTCAAACCACTGAAGGGACATAGGAGAAGTGGGGGGAGAGAGTACAGGGAAAACAGTACCACCCAAGATAAGGTAAGTGACTTTACTCTGAGTGTCCCAAACTACAGGGTACCACTATGTTCAGTTCCCATTTAACTGTGTGGTATTTTGGTCTCCTGTTCTAATATAAACACTTCTAATCTATACATACTTTTAAAATATTTTTAAAGTCCCTAAAAGTCATGATTTGAACATCAAGACATCAAGCTGAAAAACAGTCTGTCAGTGCTTAAATAAGCTTATGAACTTCTAAGTTAATTCCCATGAATGAAAGAAGTCATGTACACATTTCAAATGTTCACTACGAAGATCACAGATACAATGAATACCGAGGCTTAAAGTTTAAAAAAGAACACACTAGGAGTTCCTGACTTGACTCTATCAGAACTGCAGGGTAGAACAGGCGCACACAATGAGCTGTGATGGAAGGAGAAAGAACATGCAAATAAATGCGCTACCTTTCGCTTCAGTGTGGGTTTCGTAAGGACTGGAGGTGAGTTTGAGCGAGGGCTCTCCAGCTCCTCCTCCTCCTCGCTGCTCTCACTGAAGCCCCTGAGCAGAGCCCTGTCACCATCACTATAGCGCCGGGACAGTCTACCACTGCCTTCTGGGAACCGGCACTGCAGTGCCTCGGGGCTCCTCCTCAGCTGTCCATGCCACAGCTCAACGCCATCACTCAGTCTTCTTTTGGGGATGTCTGCCTTTCCATCCTGGTGTGGCTGCTCCTGAGAGGCTGCCAGCTGTTCTCCACTTTCAGTGTACTGTTCTTGGGAGGTTTCCGATTTTTCCTCACATTCTCTGGATTGTTCCTGAGGAGCTGATGTCTCTTCCAAGAGCAGTTTAGAATCTTTATCACCAAAATGTTCCTGGGTTTTTCTGTTTTTCCTCCCCCAACGGCCCTTCCGAGATGGCTGACTATTTGCAAGAAGACTATCACTGGGAAGGACCTGTTTGTTCAAACGTGTAGAACTGGCTGAAGCCATAACTTCTGGTTTCTTTTCACTTTCTACTGAAGAGTAAGAATCTTGCTCTTTGTTCTCCCGAGACACAGACTTTCCCACCTGATGTCAGAAAATAAAACATTGCTGGTTAATTTTTCAGTCTTACTTGGTTTATCTACCTATTCTGACCTTTTAAATACTGAGATAAGAAAAGGAAACTAAGCTTAAAAAATAAAATTATTAACTATTTAATACCTAACATGAATGTTTCCTATGTGTCAAGCACTGTTTTAAAAGCTTTATATGCATTATTCATTTAATCCCCACAATACCTGTATGAAGTATTATCATTATATCTCCATTCTACAATGAGGTAATTGAGATACAAAACAATTATTATTTTTTTTTTATTTTTTCCCTTTTTGTCTTTTTTACTGACTGGTAACGGGATCGCAACCCTCGGTGTCGTGCCCGTACTGGGGACCGGCAACGGATCGCAACCCTCGGTGTTGCGCTCGCACCGCGCTCAGCCAGTGAGCGGGAACCGGTCTCTACATGGGATCCAAACCCTCAGCAGGAGCGCCGCCGCGCTCCCAAGCGGCGCACTCTCCAGTGCGTCACCAGGCTGGCCCGAGATACAAAATAATTATAAGTGACCTGGCCCAGGTCATGCAACAGTAAATGAAGTAGCTGGGATACAAACCCAGGCTGTCTGACTCTAGAGTGTGTGCTCTTTCTTAACCCCTATGCAACACCATTTTCAATAAACAAAATGAATATTATTTTTCTTACAAATGTTAAATGAGATTGTTTATGAAACTTCTAAGAAATAAAAATGTATAAACAGGGAGGAGATAGACTTTTGGAGCATGGGCAGTAGGAAGGGGCATTTGAGAAAAATGAAAGCATATTTCTGTAATTATTTGATTTATTTTTATTTTGAATAATTTCATTTTTAAAATTAAGTTGTGCTAGAGGGGCATGAGTTTTTTTTATGTTTATCAAAGGAGGACATAGATGTTTAAAGAATGAAAGCACCACTTAAAAAAAAAGCTGAGAAAGGCATGCATTACATGAAGAAAACACTGAAAATCACACAGTGTGGTATGGTCCATCATCAGCCCTTGTATGACTAAAAAGACAGCTGTATGTCACTGTATGTTTTAGCACTCTTAGAAAACACGCACATTTACATTATTTCCTTAACATTCTATTTTAAGGAAAACATATCCACATTTCATTTTTAACAACTGTCAGATTTAGATTCCATTCAGATTCTTCATACTATACAGCTTAAAATTTAGCTGCTTATTGGCACTTTGGTAAGAAATATTTAGTCATATGTAACACATTATAAGATATTTGATGGTCTCTTAATGGTCCAAGGTCTAAAAGCACAAAAATAAGTAAACAAGACCCAGTCTTCCTAAAATTTCTACCATTGAAATAAAGCTCTGAAATTCTAATGTGAATTTACTTTGCTGGTAAGATACCATGAGACATATCATAAAAACCAAAAATATATCCTCTGTCATCAAAAACAGACAACTTGTGCTCTTACACTGGTCTCTAATTCTCTTTCCTGGCCCCGAGGCTCTTCGTTTTCTCCTTCCTCGGCTTCCTCTTCTTCCTCCTCTGAGACAACAGAGTTGGACACTATGACAGGAGTCCAGCGTAAACATTCTGGATCTACATCTACAGGCCGCAAATTCAGCTGAAGCTTTGCCATGTGATCCTGAATAAGTTTTTCCCGGCGGATGATCACAAATCTGGAACCAGAGAAAAGTTTATAGCAATCAACATGTACAAAACGTACATAAAAAGGAACATGGAGATATAACCCCTGGAAACCCCTGTAGATGATGATGATGAAGAATGCTTCAAAAATAGCCTGCTGGGAAGATGAAATATGGAAATAGTCACCACGTGAGATAGCTAAGAAATATGAAGTTGGGGCCGGCCCGGTGGCGCACTCGGTAGAGTGCGGCGCTTGGGAGCGTGGCGGTGCTCCTGCCGAGGGTTCGGATCCCATATAGAGACCGGTCTGCTCACTGGTTGAGCGTGGTGCGGGCGCGACACCGAGGGTTGCGATCCCGTTACCGGTCACGATAAAAGACAAAAAAAAAGGAAAAAAAAATCCCGTTGCCGGTCGCGGTACGGGCGCGACACTGAGGGTTGCGATCCCGTTACCGGTCACGATAAAAGACAAAAAAAAAGGAAAAAAAAAAAAAAAAGAAATATTAAGTTGGACAAATACTTCATACTCCACTATAGCAATGGATTAAGTTATTTTAAATATCGTCTTCCACTTCCTACCTCTGGAATTTCTGCTACTCTCCTATACTCTCTAAATTTCTTATTCTCCATCTATTGAGCTCAAATATCTCCTTTCTTTGTGACCTTTTCCTGACCACTTTAGGTAACGGTGGACTGTATGTCTTTCCTTTCAACCTATACTTCACTTTATACCATTTATATGGAAATTGACCATGGGCATATTTTACTTAATGACATTGTTTCTAGAGCTGTTACTTCCTGTATTGTGAAACAGCTCCCATTACTAGAAGGTAAAAGATTCAGAAGCTTAGATCCAACAGTTAGGAAGACCAGAAAAACAGTTTTAAAAATACATATATGGTTAACAGAATCAAATATCATAGAAAGGAAAATGATGTTTAATTATCACCAAGTGTACCACTTATATTAGTTAATGACCTTTCATCAATAATCTGGCTGCTTGACTCAAAAACTATTTTTCAATTAATTATCTTTCAAAAGTACACAAAGGGATGTGATACTCACTGGTCACTACGGAAGTCCAGCATTCGTAGGTGATGGAGTGTGGAAGTAATGTCTTGAGGGCAGATTCCAGTTAACTTGCTTAACTTCTTAATGCTGATTTGTTTGTCATTTTGGTGATAAAGGCACTCCAATATTACGCTTTTCCAATAAGCCATGTAGGAAAGACGACCTAGATCGGATAATGGTTTCTCTGGAGACCCTGCTTGGCCTTCACGCTTTGATAACAAATAACCTAAAGGAACCCCCAAATCACAAAAATGTGAGAGACCCTAAAAAAAGTCTGATTCACCAAGTAACAATCCCCTCTTCCACAACCAATTCAAGTATTATAGGCAATAATAATTTCAAAGGTAAATTCCTTCAAAAAAAGGGAACAAAATTGTGAAACTTAAAAACTTGAAAAACAAATTTGCAGGAAGATTACATAATTTGTATATCTTGAACATTAGGTTAGTATTATTTTGTCTACAGTTAATATAAATCACCTTGTTAAAATATTGAAACTGTTAAAAACCAGGACATCTATTAACAGACTGCATCAATAAGGCAAGAACAGTTTTTAATTCAATGTACCACGAAGGAAACCAGCCTTGCATGTTTTATCTGGACCGCTAGATGGCAACTGCTATATCTGAATTGAGAAATACAAAAGAATGCCTTAGTTTTTATGTAATCCTATTAAGATTCCTCTGTGTGAATTAGATGACAAATTCTCACTTTACCCAGAGCTCTCCTCATAATTACCTATCACTCTAACTCCTGGCAAGCAAGACTGCTAACACACGTGTGAGTGTCCTTGTGAATATACGGTGGTATGACTGTCCTCTTGTCTAGTGTATGACTCGCAAGAACTAGAAAAGGCACAAATTTTAAGGCAAAAGCATCATAAATGGAAATGGCAAAAGAAATGTAGTTTTTTGGTCATTAAAGAAAACTTAAAAGCAGTCTAAAAATGGTAATCTGGGAAAATAATTAGGTTAGGAAAAGGAAGTAAAAACAAATAATATAGTTATAGATTCTTGTATGTATACCTCAAAAAAATGCTAATCACCATCAATAAAATATTTTCCCTAGCTTTGCTATTTAATGGCATATAACATGAACAATCATGAGTCCTACTTCAAAACAATATATTAATATTAATTGACACAAAGAATGAGTACATTTCATAATGACAAATATGCCACCTATCCTGATTTGATCATCACATCATATACAAATACTGATAGTCAACTCTGTACCTGACAAATATGTACAATCAATTATGTTCCAATAAAAATAAAATTTAAAAAAAATAAAGGAAATCTCATCTGAGTTTCACCCCCTACTGCTAATCCAAACAGGCCAAGAAAATGTAGCACATACTTCCAATAAAATATGGTTAGAAGTACAGTCTAAAGCCAAGTAGAACAAGCTTAATTGGTCCTGATGAGAATTAACTTCTCAAGAAAGGAATCAAAATCTTTAGTCTGAACCACTATTTCTTTCTTTCTTTATTTTTTTTTCCTTTTTTGTCTTTTTTACTGACCGGTAACGGGATCGCAACCCTCGGTGTCGCGCCCATAATGGGGACCGGCAACGGGATCGCAACCCTCGGTGTTGCGCCCACACCGCGCTCAGCCAGTGAGCGGGAACCGGTCTCTACATGGGATCTGAACCCTCGGCGGGAGCGCCGCCACGCTCCCAAGCGGCGCACTCTCCCGTGCGCCACCAGGCCGGCCCTGAACCACTATTTCTACATACATTCCTTTAAATATTATTTTATAGCAATATCTTAGGGAAATTATAATCATTATAAAATTTATTGCAAACATACATTCAACTTTCTAAGCAAGATTATAAATGTGTGAAACAAAATACGAGTTCCGCAATGACCCATTTAGAACTGTTTGCTTTCACTTTTTAACTCACATTAAATTATTTCCTATATCATTCATTTTAAGATTTTTAAAGGTGTGTTGCATATTTTTAACCACTAGGTACAGCCTGTAACTAAAAAATACACACATTTTCTAAGATAACTGGTAACAAAAATAGGGTAGGCACTGTATGTACTTCTTTATTAGCACTACTTTAAGTAGCTATACGTTTTTAGTATTGTTGTGAGTTAGTATTGCTCCATAAAACTAAGTTCCATTGTAAATGAACAAAATGAAGGTATTTGCTATAGATCATACAAAATTGTATTTGATATTAGCTATTTTAAAATATTTCATGTCTAACCAAAAGAAAAAGAACTTAGGCTTTAGGTCTTAAAGATTCATACAGCAATATGACAAAACATACTAACAGCCAATAAATCATCTACAAATCCTTAAAAATGTATATACAGAAGGTCCACAGGAACCAATAATGATCCCTGTATCAGCCACCAAAAAAAACCAAACAAACAAAAAAAGGCAATAATGAGAAATTAAATTAATACAATCCTTACTGAAATCGATGAGAAACCTGCCATAGCCCTTACGCTGATATTGGGGAAGAATCATTATACAGGAAACATTGTACTTCTGTTGGCAATGCTTTTCCTGATGGAGAAAAAAGAAGTCAAGTTTTAAAACAAGAGGCTGGTAAAACCGATAATAAGAATAACAATGCTAATTATTAAGAAGCAAAGACTAACAGCCAAAACCATAGCCTTGGTCCTTTAGGAATAGCAATGTATATCAAGAAAAAAGTACCCCACTGGGAGAAGATAGTACAATGTTAAGTCACTGCCATAACCCACAAAGCAACCATCCCAGAAAAGTAAAAATATGAAACAAAATAATGCCATCCAATACCATCTGCAACTAAAAAACAGTATGTCAATGACTAAGGTTAGCAGAGGAATCTGCATCCCAAACAATTTGCAAAGCTACAAATGATGTATTAATGTGGCACACTAGAAGTGAGAAGATCAACTATTTCAGTTTTCTGAAAAACCTGAAATATTTTATTTCCTGCTCTGGTGCTATCTAGAGCAGTCCCAGTTCCTATTAGTTGTACCTAACTGTACACAAAATAGTCCTGAATGTTGGGTACAAATACATTTTTATACACTAGTTAATATATTTTAAATCCTATTTAGCTGATGAAGTAACCTACCTAACTCTTACAAAACTAGTATTTTCCATTTAACTGTTCTATACACTTAGATTTTTACCAGGAACTTGCTTAAATAAAAGTACATCTTTTATATTGTTTGACTAGAAAAGCAGCTTTTTTTCCTCTAAGGAAATGGAAGATTAGGAAGAAGAAAATATCCTTTAATAAAAATGGCATCTTACTCTTATTTCTGTGCCTAAAAATCAAATTAGGGAGAGAAGATTCAAGCTGAGAAAGAACTCAGGAGGTAATGACTGTGTTTACTTCACAAGTTCTACCTATTCTCACCATGGGAATACAAGCCATTTTAAAACTTTTCCTCTTGAGTATTACCAGCAGTTTGTGTTCCTAGGAAAATATAGTCTGTTGAGTGTTACTAGGCACCTTCTAGCACTTGGTAAGTTTCTGAATGTTCTATTTTCCTTTGCCAAAAGCTGATGACACCTAGAAAGTGCTGCATTGTGTAGTGTCTCCTAGTGAGAACCAGCAAAGATTGTTTCAGATTTCCATATGAAGTCAAACAAATTTTAAGCTGACATACTTACTTTAGAAAAGTAGCCAACAAGGTGGCAGCCCTTGACATCATTCTGTGTTAGTACATAAAAAAGAAATGGCTCCACGTCATAATAGAGTGTTTTGTGGTCAAGAAACAACTTTGCCAAGAGACACAGGTTTTGACAATAAATGGTACTCACATTCCCATCAACCTAGAGGGAAAAACCAGAACAAAATGGTCAGTAGAGAATCTCTTTAATTTTAGAATAATACACATTGGTTACAAGTATCTTTAAGTCTAGCCTAAGAGAAGCTGTCAGTAATCAGAACACACTGGAACCTGGGAGCTATCTTTTAAAATGACAGTGTTATTGTACCTAGTATTTTAAGAAAACCAAATGTAAAAAATGCTGCACTTCAACAAAGTCAGAATAGCTAGACAGGGAGGTGATACTCTAGTTTAAAAACAGCATGTTTTGCTTTTATAAAAAGATTAATGCAAGAATCCTTCGGATGGCAAGCTTCATTTTCAGAAGTATTTAATTCAACAAAAGACGTAAATGCAATCTCTTCTAAAATACATTCACTAGGTAAAACAAGGAATAACTGTAGTCTCATCTCTGTCAGCACCCTGAAACAATGTAATCTAACTACCATGATCAGGTTTACCGCCAAATAAAGCTACTTGTGGGAGTATTAACTATTCCCAAGTAGGTTCCCTAGGTAACAAACTGGCAAATGAGACTTAGGTTGGCCAAGCTCAGGAACACTATGCTCTGTTGCTCCTGATAGCCCTGTGTTCTTGGAGTTGCTGGAGCTTGCTCTTTTATGAAATGCCAACAGATGCCCACATTAGCTCCCAAGACATTGTCTGGCATACCAACTGAATTCCTCAACAATCTAAGTAATTTAATATTACTTCTTCTAAGATATACACCAGTATATGCTTAAATTGAGAAGTAATTTGCTTCTGGATATTCCAAAACAGTATTGTATACCATACCCGCTCTCTCCTTCTCCCAAGGTGAAGAGCTCCTCTACTGATCACCTAAAATAAAGTCTTAAGAAAGAACTAAGAAAGTCAGAGACTGAGTGGATCCTGACAATCTGAAATTGTGGTAATTAATATCATTGTGGTAATTTACAGGACTGCACACATAGCAAATATTCAATTAATCCTTGGCACTCAAACCACTCAAACCACAGAACTCAGAGATCAAGAAATTAAACACCACCACTAACAGCAACATAGAATCACAGATATGGCATAAGTCACACTGTCATTGCATTAAAATTTACTAAATGCTATCAGACACATCTCTATGAGACATTCCTTTTACATATGTAATAGAAATCTTTCGTTTAAATGCCATGTTTTACAGATTCTAAGATGCACTTTTATCACATCTTAACATATGTAAAATTGATTGGCATTTTATAGTCAAAGGAAGTCTTAAAAATTATATTTAGCAGTACTTTTTCCTTTTTTTAGTGGTACATAAAATAGTAGGATATATTATAATTGATGACTTTGGCTCAACGAAACACAGAATATTTTGAGGTCATTTGGGTTGGCCTAACTCTGGTTCTCACATAGCTGACTTATCTGACTCTATAGTGAGTGAACAGTAAAATAACATTCCCCCAAAAATCAAGTTGCACAATTAGATGCAGTACAGGTGGCACTGTTTTTGAAATGGATAGGGAGACAACTACTAAACATCTACCTTACCTCAAAGACAGAAATATTATTCTTTCGGTAAATCTCATTGGCAGGTGGGTGGAACCAACCACATTTCTTCATGTGCTGCTGTAGAATAGTTCTACTTTTCATATATTTTAGACAGAATTCACAAAGATACAATTTAGGAAGTCTGTAAATAATAATTAAACAAAACACAAGGTTTTATATTTTATAGGAACTTGAACTTTCACAGCTCATTTTTTTGCCTCTTGTTACTATCCAGCAAAAGAAGTAGAAAATGTATCATCAGGGCCGGCCCCGCGGCTCACTCGGGAGAGTGCGGTGCTAGTAGCCCGAGGCCATGGGTTCAGATCCTATATAGGAATGGCCGGTGCACTCACTGGCTGAGCGTGGTGAAGACCACACCGTGCTGAGGGTTGCGATCCCCTTACCAGTAAAAAAAAAAAAAAAAAGAAAAAGAAAAAGAAAATGTATCATCATCCTCATTAATCAGTGAAAGAAAGAAAAAACCCAAACTTAAACTAATTTAGATCATAGCATCCAACTAATTAACAGCAGGAAGGCAAGGGTAAGAAATCAAGACACCCAATTCAGTGCTCTTCCTGTTAGACTAATAATTCCCAGTCTTTCCAAGTTACCCTGCTAACAGACAAAATCTCACATTCTCTCCCCATTGAGAATCTCTAATATGCAGAAAATAAAGTCTACCTTCAGAACACTCCAATAAGTGAAGATTTTAGTGAGCTATATATTCTTTCTTCCTTTATTTGTTGTTTATTTACTATTTTTATTTAATCCATTAATTCGTTAATTTCAGAAAATATTTGTTGCATACTTACCGTGTGTCAGGCCCTATGCTAGGTACACTAGGTATATAGTGCTGAGTAAAATGGACATTTTATACTGTAAAAACAGACTTTGTTTATGTATTTAAGTACAAAATTATAAGACTGAATATGCTTTGGCAAGTTAGGATATACTATACTACCTCTTTCTTTGTACACCTGAAATTCTGGCTCTTCCCCTGGTTATATCACCATATGAAATCCTTTTAAGTCAACAGTCTATTATTCAACAAGTAAAATAAAGGCTTAAATTATTCTTTCAGATATTCTCAGTTGTTAATTTATATTTTTTCATAGTCTTGCTACTTTAGTAGTAGTTTCACAGGACTTTTTCTTTCTAAGGTCACTTTTATAAGGAGGTGGGCAATAAAGTTAGGTATTAGACCAGTTCATAAGGTAATGGAAGAAACATAACCTAAATTAAAAATCAATGGCATTTACACCTATTTTAGTATGAATCTATAAGAGCACATGGCTCTTCTGTTATAAAATACACACCCCATGTATCCTCAGCACAGGGTTGGCTTCCCTGTATCTTGAACTGTATCTAGAACTGCCATACCTTGGTTATCTGAAATCTGATACAATTATTAAAACTGCATATGCAAAAATACTGAATGGTAAAATGACAAAAAATATTTTGTCTCAATTATCAAGGCAGAAGGAAATTTAAAAGCCTCATTAATTTAGATGCTATCCATTTGGACGGTTGTACTTAAAAGATTACCCTAGAATAAAGAAAATGGTATTTGCTAAGTAGATTAACATACAAAAAACATGTTAGATTTGTTATAGTGTGACGACCACAACTATTTTTTTCAAATTCCCACTTTGGAAGCAGCCTTTGACACATAATTATTATTATTTTTTTTATTTTTTTA